CCAAAAAGATGACATTTATCTTAAAAAAAGTTCCTCTTAGGAGCTTTTAGCTTATATGTTTTTTCTTCATTATATAAAAAAGCTCTTTTTAAGATAAGAACTTTGGTAAAATTATGTTTGGCTAAGCTTTTGATTATAAGGAGAAGAAATGTTAAAAATAAGAACTCTCAAACAGGAACTATACCTATTGTTTTAATTTATTTGAGCATTGGAGTGCTTATAGTTGCACCTCCTTATTCCATTTGAGAAGTCATTTTGTAGCCACCTGCGTTAAAACCTATATTATAGAAGCTTAACACAACCTCACAATATATCCAGATACGCCTATCAGAATAGAATTATATTGAGTCTCACACCTTATCTAGTTTTGATGAAACAAACACAAGATGACAAGCCATCTAACAGTTTCTTGAGTTTTTTAAAATTAGTTGCCAGATTTAATATATGATGAATTATGAAGTAGTGAAAAAAAAACAAAATTGTCATGATATTTTGAAGATTGAAAATGCAAAATAAAATCTTAAATTTCATTAAATGATTAGATGAGATGAATCTTGTTCATATTTTGGATTGCATTAAGTTATAAAAAACTGAAGAGGAAAAATAGAAAAGTTTTCATCTTGATCTAAACATATTTTTTAAGATTTGGTTTTTTTATTTGAAATTTTTTTTAATTTAATCAAGCCTTCTAGAATAATTATTTATTTTTAGTGCATAAATTTTAGAAGGTTTGATTTTTTTTAATTTGAAATGTTTAATTCTTTTTTATTAAATTTTAGAAAATTGATTTGAAAGGTTTGGTTTTATTTATTAAATTTTGGAAAGCTAAATTAAAATGTTTGATTTTATTTTTGAAATAAATATTGTATTTTTTTTTTCAAATCATGATAATCTTAAAAAAAAAAAAGATTTAGCGCAAAAGTTTTTTTTCTAGTAATTTATTTTGAGAAAAACTATGTAGAAATTATAAGTCTTTCTTCAAAATTGAAATGCATTGAAGATATTTTGAGTATTTCTTCCTAAAGTACATTTAAGACAATTTGGCAACTAATATTGTTCTAACAAATTTATTGAGTCATAGGTTGATTTGTACCTATTTACTTATTAATTAGAACTTAGAAGTATGTAAGGTAGCTACTAAAATATACTTTTGTATTTTGATTTTTTTTTTAAGTTATTCTTAGAGTTAGCAATAATGGAACAATTATTTTGACATAATTGGGGACTTGTGTTTTGGGGCTCAGGATTAAGCCGAGTTAAATACAAGAGTTATTGTCGGAGTAAACAATATGGGACTAGTTATCTAGTGATAAGTGGGATTGTTGAATCAAGATGTATGTTTAGGTGAATTCTTATACTTTAAATTGAGTTCGACTCTATATGAATTTGACTCCTAATTGAGGTTGTGACTTTTTTTTTTCCATCTTTTAGAATTTTTTTTACATAATTACTTGAGATTTTTTAATTTTTTACAATATTCTTAATTTCTAAAGATTATTATATTTAAACTTGCATTGATTTAATTGAAATTTATTTTAGTAAATAGTTGAAAATTTATATGTAACTCAATTCACCCTTCTCGAGTTCATTTGAAAAAGTTTTTCAAAAATTATTATTTTTAATTATATAAAAAAAATTATCATATTTATCTTAAGAATTGTTTTTAAAAAAAAAACTGATTTAATAATTGTAAAACAATTGAACATATTTTTTTAAATTAAAAAACTTTTTTTTTAAAGGAAGAAACAGAAAATACTGCCCATTATTAATTTGAAAATATTAAATATAAGGAAACAACCAAAATCTAGATGAAATAGAAAGGATTGAATAAACTAAAGGGGGACTTAAACTGATAAATAGAAAATTTAAAATAAAATAAAAATAACAATCTGATTGTGCTTGAAGCCAACCATTATTTTGCATCCTCTAAGCAATTTTTACATAAAATGAATTCCGCCAAATAATCTTAAAGCGCACCCTACAATTGAATTTTTTTGTCCCAAATTTAAGAGTAAATGAACCGGGCCAAAGAAGCATGTTGTTCTCTTGGAAGATCCAAATTGCCAGATCTTAAAATAGTTAGGCTTTATAACTCTGTTCCCTATTTGGAGGCCTACTCTATTGAGGAGTTGCTGGGAGAAAGAGAGAGACCACTTCATATTTTGAGTGGGCCCAGTGTGAATGTAGATGAAGCCTAGTATTCAATGAGACCTATTTTAAGATATTTGCAAAGGTTTGTAATTTGAACATATCCGAAATTCAAATGCAAAGTTATGACCTGCAACTTTTATGGGCCTAAAATCCATAGGTGCCTGTTTAAATTTTTATATATATATATTATAAATAAAAAAACTAAATTAATCTATTAATTTTGTATCAATTAAAAACTTTTAAATATGTTCATGTAAATAAAGAATTATAAATTAATACCTGTAATTTTTTTTTAAATTCAATAGAGTTCTTGAATTGACTCTATTATTGGGTCGGCTCAAGAACCTAATTAAAATAATTTTTAAAACCATAAATGCCTATTTGTAATATCCAAAAAATTTACTTTATTTTTTTTAAAAAAAATACAATAACTTATAAATTAATTTAACCATTGAAAAATAGTTTATGGTTTCAAGCTTGCAATCGCTCGGCGTCCTATATCATAGTTCTATCTTTAGTAAGCGATGGTAACATTTTGGCACATATTTTACCAAAACATGCCACTTTGATTCTTTGCGCTCCGTATTTTTGTTGTTGTTGTTGCCTGTTGGTAATCTTTGCGCTTCGTATTTTACTCATTGAGTTTCTCTTCTTCTTCTGTTTCTTTTTTTTTGGTAAACGAGTTTCTCTTTTATTGCCCTTTTGTAAGTTTTGTTCTTCCGAATTTACAACCAAAATCATGTTATTTCGAATAACATTATACTTTAAATAAAATAAAAAATATATTTAGGCACAAAGTTAAGGTTTTTTTTTCTTTGGATTATATCTGGGTATCCTCACAGGCGATAGCCATGAGACTAATTCCTTCCTCGCCTCGGGTCAGTGCACAAAGCGGTAAAGAGCTGGTCACAGAATGCTTTTCATTCACAAGAATTGGGGTTTGAACCCCCAACCACTTGCTTAAGGGACGAGATGCTGAACCATCATGCCCACCCACGTGATTTTCAAAGTTAAGATTTTAATCCTAAAGTAACTAAGTCTAGAAATTAAATATATGTCTTTAAATATTTAAACAAAGAAAATTTTACAAGTATAAAAGATAACCATGTAAAATAAAATAAATGCAAGTCATAACTAACATGTTACAAATTAAAAACACTAATTAATAAATTTTTAAGATGGGTTTTATACCTTTCCTATAGCAGGAGAATAGTATAAACCATTCAAAAAGCCATCACACGAAAGCTAATTAATTAATAGTATTAGAGTCTCGGTTATGAGTTTGATCCTCACCGTCGCCATTTATTTAATAATTAATTAAGTCTTGTTGAGTTTCTTAGCACAGTTACTAATTCTTTAAGTGAAAGTGTTGCGTAAGAATGATTTTAATAATGTAAAGAACCAATTCAACTTAAAAAAATCAAGTTGTCGGATGAGTTACATTAATAAAATCATTGTCACAAGCACTTTCACTCAAAGGTACTATCTATTGATTAGGGACCATTATAATACAACTGTACTATCTATTTATTTTTTTCCGATAAAACAACTGTACTATCGATTGATTTCTCTAGAGGTCCACTTTATTACATAATGGGATTTTGTCTCGAGATGGCAAAGTTGGAGTACCATCTTATTCAATAGTATTTCAATTTACATGTTGATTAGTCCAAGAAAAATTGGATTTGATCACAAAGTTAAGCCCAGATCCAAGTAGTGATTGAAAGGTGATTATAATGAGACAAATGGAGAACGTGCAAAGTACTCCGACGCTTAAATCAATACCTATCTGCTTATGCTACCTTTAGTATAATGGCATTCATTTTTATTGGTGTATTATGATTAACTTATCCTGTATGCGGATACTTATTGGTGGGCTAAGATATATTAACTTAATTAAACTCTTGTACCTATCCCTTCACCATTGGCTACTTAAGGAGCCTTGTGAGAAATGCTAATGTGAGTCCAGTTCTATATATGTGGGATTGAGTGTGTGCATAATGTACGCGTTTACTTATGGCTTAAATCTTTGTATTTGGGCTTTTGGGCGGTTTATTGAACTATACACTTCATCCCGCTTACTGTGGGTCGAGATTAGATGTTTTCTCAAAGCATCTTATTCAACAAGATTTCAATTTATGCGGCTACTAACAACATCTTATTCAACTTTGGTTGCTTCAGTTGAAGAATTTCACTTGGTTATGTTGTATAGTGATTGGCTGAAGTTTGGCTCTCTTAGTTTTTTTACTTCATGCACTTGTGGTTAGCTACCTCCACAATGTGTTAACGATGCATCATCATTAGGTTCGATGCTGGCAATTAATTGATTGTAACCTAACACATAGCCGTACTTTCTAATAATATTAGTAGGAAGATTCAAAATAATCCCTAAATAGAGATTAAAAAATTGGACAACTTGATCAAAAGTCTATCTTATAGTTTTTTGTTTTTCCCATTAGTCTAACCATGTGTTTCCCTTTTTCAATGTTTCACGTCAAGTCTAATTAAGACAGACTCATCTAATGTATTGTGTGACTAAAATAACCAAGATTTGTCACACGGTATTGATGTTGCGACTTCGACAAATGGATCTCGCCAAATAGAGATTTATCACCAATCGTATATGTAATACAATGTATAAGTAAGAGAACGTTTCTACGAGTATTAGATTTCAACCACTAATTCACTAATTATGCTTAAATTGGACAATTGATCAAGAGAATTTATTGAAAATTAGATTACATAACAAAATAAGAATGCAAAACATGAGTAACTTGAAAATTAAGAAACGCAGTTAGGGGTTCGATTTTCCCCAATCTCCCTTTTATGTTCTGAATTAAAATCTTCCCGTGACTTATTAAAACATAAAAAGGTCTGGTACAAGCGAAATCAAACATTAAGAAAGATTAGTGACATTCACTTTATGAACTAGTTATATAATATTGAGAAAATATGGACCTTCATACCTCAATGAATTGTTAAGACAAATGCAAACCCAACTAATGTTGAGAAGAGCAATTAGGCCAATACACATGCTTTGGTGATTTTGTTTTAAGGACTGGGTTGCTCTCAAAGAAATTGGTTGGCCTCAGCTCAAATCCACCACTCAATGTTGGCATAATTGGAAAATCTTCCTGGGAAGGAACGTGATGAAATCCCATCGTGTACCACAATACTATGTCCTTGTTCTCAATCTCCCTATCCCTGCACATTCAAATCACAATGCCAAATTAGACCCTTTTATACATATAGGCATGTGAAGAATCGAAATGTTTAAAAAAAAGTAGAACGAAATCATTAAAATTGCTCAATAATTTTTAAAAGAGAGTGTTAGAAGTGTCCGAGTGTAAGTAAAGTGCTAGTAAGTAGTTAATAGCATTTCTCCATAAACTATATTATAGTTTTATGTGATTTAGTGACACACCTGAGACTCCAAGCAGCTAAAGTATCATCGCCTCTGCTGCGATCAACATACAATCCTGAGGCCCATTTCTCAGATTTGTTGTATGGTGTGACCCACACATTATAATTAGTGAAGGCAGCTCTGATTTGTGGATAATCATCAGTTACCAAAAGAGGGTGCACCACTGAGCCTGGAAGCAAACGGTACCCAATTTTATTTCCTGGTTTTGTCTTTTTGTTAGGATTTACCACTACTAGCTCAGAAGGCTTGAACCCCAAGTTAATTCTGGCATCAGCTTCTGTTTTAGCTGTTTCACTTATAACCGTCCAATAACTTTTTCTGGGTATGGTGGGATCTTTCACTATTACAGTCTCCAAATTGGACTTGACAAAGGAGTTGGTTTCACCATCAATATCAAGGTCAAGATAATAGGTCAAGAAGTGGTCATGGTAGACACCAATGGTATTATCTGCTAGCAATGTGCCGTAGATGTCCTCTTTGATTTGATCAGTATTAGTGTATATCCCTGCTTTAACCTCTAATATCCCAGTAAGCCCAACCTACATTAAAATTAAATAGTTAGCATCTAATCACCAACAGTTAATTGCTAATTACGATAGATCACATATTAATTTCTTCAACATTATTATGATAAATTTTAATAGAGTAAAAGAAAGGATCCAAGCTTCATGCATGGACTTTGCTGCATGAACTTCATACCCCAAGCTTGATGCTACCACTTGGCTTAAATTCCCAATCTATAACATAGTCGTAGTTGCCCACGGTTGACACCATTCTTACCACCAAGCTTACATCGGGCCTGACCTCTGTTATCTGTCGAAAATCCAATAAATAATTTTTAACAAAGAAAAATATGTATATAAATTATAAAAAATAAAAATAAAAAAATAAAACAGATTATGGGTGTCATGGATAAATTTTGAAAAATGTAATTTTATGATATATAAATCCTAATGTCTTTCAAAAATGTAATTTTGAAAGACTACTCTAGCTAACTTTTGAAAAAAAAAAATACTAAAACTAATTTTTTGGAAAAAAATTTACCACTTCTTTTGGGATTTCAATTTCTGTGTGACGCCACATGATATCACCAGCATATCTTTCAAATATGCAGAAAGCATTAGCTATCTTAACTGGTGTACCATCAGAGCCAGCATAGTATGCATCTAGGAACGCAGCATTGGCAGGACAATCGGTCAAAGGCTGTAGTGAAGATGCAGATTGACCAAATCCAAATTCTCCACAATCAAAGTAGGTTGTGTAATACCATTCCAAAGTTGGGTCTTGGTATGGCACAAACAGCTCTGATATGAATCCTCTGTATAGGACCTGGCGATATTTCTGTTTTTGGAGATCATAAATTGAAGCTAGAGAAATTATTGGGCCAGCCCGAATGTCAAATCCGACATGAAACTCCCAGTTGGCCCAACTAATTGCAAAAAATTAAAGAAGAAAACAAAAACGGGTCAGTATTTAAGCAACATTAGTCTACATACTACAACTCTTAACAAAGGACAAGAGGCAGCCTTGGCTAACGAATGTACCATATTTTTTTTTAGCTTTCATGAGTCATTAAATTTGTATTAGTTGTTAATTTTAAAAATAAATGTTTTAGGATCAATTAAAAAAAACTCTGAACAAGTTAACAGGTATTTCCAATAACATATTTGCGTTGCAGAGTTATATTATATCCCCACAGTTAATCAGTTAGTCTAGGAGTGAGTGAGTTAGTGTTATATCACCCTGTTTGTACTTATGTAAGGATAAAGACGGCGAACATGTGCAATGCATGGGATTGACCCATTTTATCCATCACATGTTAGAGGTTAGGTTAAAATTTTCAACCCATTAAATTATTTGAATTCGCCTTGCATGTACAGGTGGGTTAAAATGAATTCAACTAGCAATGAGATGAGTTGACCTGTGAGGTTGGCTTTTTTAATTTTTTTTTTAAATTACATTAATCAATGATCTTTGTGTACTTTTTTTGTCTTCATTTGATACCCTTTCTGTACATGGGAAGTACAATTTTCTAAAAAAAAATCACATTTTTAATATGTCAATGAATTGGCAGGGCGGCTGAAAGCGGGTTTTCAACTCGCGGAATAAGAAGGATTGGGTCATTTTGACGCAGGTTGGGTTGCGTTATATGCTTTACCACCTTCAAATGGGGATGATTCAACCACCAATTATTAGTTCAAAGTGTTATAAGTAAGTTGTTGCCATTAGAGGCACATTGGAAATAAGGAAAATTGTTTTCTACAGCTACCACTAAATGGGTCCCATAATACTTGAATAAGAATAATTGGGTTTCATATCAAGTTAAGGGAAAAAATATAAACTCAACTAATCAGTTTACCTTAAATAATGATTTTGACGGATTTATTTTACATCATTCACTTGATTAATTTATTCAAAAAAAAAAAATTATACAGCAGGCTTGGTTGAATAATATAATAATTCAAAAAAGAAATAGTCATAGATACCATAAAAACTTCCTCCTATATATAAACGGTGTAAGAAAATATCATGCTGTATTTTTTATTTTTTTTTTGTAGATATATACCACTATATGGGTTCGATAGTTGGGTTTAAAAAAAAGTTAAGAAAAAAATCATAAACTCAGTTAATCAGTTTAATTGAAATAATAGTTTTGATGGATTTATTCTACATCATTCAGTTGATTAATTTATTCAAAAATAATTTTTTATGCAGCAGACTTTGTTGATAATACAATAATTTAATAAAAAAACAACTATAATTTTGGATACCATAAAAAGGACGGCCAGGTCAAAAGTAATGAAGTCATCGTTGGTTATAGCTATATTTAAAGGGAAAAGTTGAAAAAAGTGTGTATCATTTTTCCCCAGCAATTCCTCGATTCTTTAATTAATTCAATTGAATCAAATATGATCATAAATACGGTCAAAATATCTCTAATTCAAATTTTTAATATAATTACATACTTAAAATTTCAACCCGAAAGATGGAAATTTCACCGGTGTAATAACGTGTAGTATTAGTATATAGCTAGACTTAAAAGGGAAAATCAGAATATGACAAATCAAACTAAAGAAATAAAGAAATAATAAATTAAATTAAGCTGACCTTACAGTGTGGCCATCGATTTTGAATCCAGGTCCTCCCGGTTGCATCATAGCAATTCCCTTGAGGTTAGGACCGAAGGGTGGCTTCAGCTTTGACTCTCGGTACTCTGTGCCCTCTGCTTTTGGCAACGGAACGATGAATCTATCTGTGTAATCAATAATCTTCATCTGGTCAAGGTCAACCACCGCTTCTATCCCCTCCAATGGTCTCGCATACAAATTAACAGTCCCATTAGTGTAATAGCACTTAATCTTCAAAATCCTGTTTGTCTTCCCTTCTCCATACCAACCAACCGTGAAGTCAGAACATATAACCTCAGACAAGTTCAGACCCCTCTTCTTCACCGATTCCCTAAATGGTCCATACAAGAATGGAAGCTCTGACGCAGCGGTTTGTTCGTCCAAGGTTAGCATAGGGTACCCATGCCCTTCGTCCACTTTGCTTCCGATGATGGATCGTGTTCTCAAGTCCACTATCATCTCCAGGGACTGTTTATGGTAGCGGGACACGACATAGAATTGACGCGGTGGTAAGGTTTTGGTTTTGGTTTTGGTTTTGGTCTTTGAGTTTAAGGATAGCCATGAGAGGATAGTGGACTTGTCTGGCTCTTCCAACCCTACATATTGAAAGGTGATGTTGCTCGGGTATGCTTTTTGGACTATGGTTCGGACAAGGTTGAGCTCGGAAGGGGTTGGAGGGTCAAGTGGGTGAGGGTGGCTACATTCTCCAAAGCTCCAAAAGATGGTGAAGACAAAGAAGATCAAGATCTTCATGACTGCACTGTGTCGGTAAAATGAGAGAGCCAGCACAGCTATTTCTTAAACTTTCCTGATTAAGTGCTTCGATTCTTAAATAATAATTAAATGAATAAATATAGGGGCAGGATCATCTTACACCGGTGTAAGAATAATAAATCTTACACCAAATCTTAATCATTGATTTTCTACATCTAACGGTTAAGATTTATTAGGTCTCACTCATTAATTAATTTTTAATTCTCAATAAATCTCAACCATGGGATGCACGGAAATCAACGGTTAAGATTTGGTGTGTAAGTTGATCCTATCCCATAAATATAATATCATATTTCGATGGACCAAGTCAACCATATCATATGATGCAGTAGAATATGGTAAGTACGGCGTAGGGCGGAAGCTGATGGAAAATTAATTCACGCCCCCCTCTCTCTCCTCTTTCGTCCTCTCTCCCCCCCCCCCCCTCCCCTCCCTCTCTCTCTCTCTGGGTGCATGGCTCCAGGACCGTGGAAATATTTGATCAAGATGATGGTTTGAATGAAGAAAGCACCGACACATTGAAAAAAAATATTGGTATCGGAGAGAACGTGTATCACGTCGTCAATATTTTAAGACACACACTAAATGTTTGACATTTATTTTTAACAAGCAGTCAATTTTTTTTTGACACACGATCAACACTTCAACACGAATTTAATATATTTTTTTATTTTAGATTTAAATTTTATTTTATTAACTAAAAAAGAAAAATTAATTTATAAGTTAATTTTTTATCTATTATAGAATTTGATATAAAAAATTAACAAGATATGAAAATTACTTTTGCTTTATATTTATGTTATGAAATTTGAATATTTGATTGATTATATAACTTATTATGGACTATTATATGTACTAAATATAAATTATATTATATATATTAAAAATATTATTTAATATCAAAATATGTCTTAATATGTCGAAATATGATATTTTTTATAATTAACGTGTCGTGTCCCATATCCCGTATCGGTATTGGTGCACCGTATGTTTAAATTCAGAGTAAGGAACACAAAACGAAAGGAATGAAAACAACAAAAGATGTTATTGTAATTTTTTTTTTTGGTAAAGGATGTTATTGTAATTTAAATATGTAATGTTATTAAGTATTATATAACCCACTAAAATTTATCAAATGGTGGTAGCTCAGTTGGCGCATAGGAGTTAAGCATGTGGAGACAGAGCATGTGTTCGAATCTCTCCAGTATTACATTTGGGAGGAGTTTAAAATTTTAATCCTGGACCCGCCCCGGATTAGTTGTGAAATAATGAATCGATTGAAATATTTCCACAAAAATATAACCCACTAAAAAACCATGTATATAGCTTTAATTTATAGGTTTTATAAGAGTTATGTTGTAGGAAAATTGATTGTGTAATGTTATAGAGATTCGTTTTACGTGCCGTAGTTTTTTTTTTCTTCAAAAAATGTGGACTCCACAAAATATTGTGTGTAGAAAACTTTGTTGTATCATGTTAAATGACAAATGCAAGCCCCTTATTTTATTTTATTGTTTTAGTTGAGCACCCGTAGCAAAGTTTTTGTCTCACTTTTTTTTTTTGCACGTTTTATTTTTGCTTTCAGTATGTGTCTGTTGTTGTCTTTTATAGAGGATTTTGGATTTTGCCTCTAAAGTTGTTACTAAAAGTGCTTATTATTTCGAGAAGGAATATTCTTACTATTAAAATCTTCTACTATCAACTCACTACCTATTTAATCACCATTGAATCAATATTTTCTCTTTTTTCAAAAACTTTTTAGCATTCTCTCTCTTTGATTCAATGGTGATTAGATAAGTAGTAAGTTAGTAGTAGAAAATTTTGGTAGTAAGAATATCCTTCCTCGTTATTCCGAGTCCATCTTATATATTAATTTTCACTAGTGGACTAATCTCGTTGTTTGCATGATTGTAACAAGCTACAAAGCTAAGACACGTTTTGTTTTTGAAATTGTGAGTGTCGGACACGTGTCCGACACGGACACGCTCCGACACGTTTGGACACGTGTCCGACACGCGGTTAACATTTTGGGACACGTGATCAACTCTCCGACACGCTCCGACACGTTTTTTCGACACGCAGTCAATTTTTTCCGACACGCTCAGACACGTTGTTTTTTTACTCTTTAATTTTATTTTATTAACTAAAAATAAAAAAAATCATTTACAAATTAATTTTTTTCTGTTATGAAATTTGACATGAAAAATTAACAAGATACGAAAAATTATTTTTATTTATATTTAAGTTATGAAATTTGAATATTTGATTGGTTATATAACTTATTATGGACTGTTATATCTATTAAATATAAATTATATTATATATATTAAAAATATTATTTAATATCAAAACGTACCTCAATGTGTCAAAATATGTCATTTTTTAGAATTAACGTGTCAGCGTGTCGTGTCGTGTCCCATGTTAACGTGCGTGCATCATAAATAACAAGTGGTTGGTTGAGTTTCTTTAGTAGGTGATCAATTATTTAGTTAATAATTAGGTAAAAGTATTGCGATTAATTAAATAATTTTTTATATCTTTAATAATATATAAATCACATATGTCCAGTGTATATAAACAACTTATCTTGTTATAAAAAAAAAAAAAAACAACTTATCTTGTTTAAAACAATCTATAAATCACAAATTATTTATAACAGTCGATCTTTGACTATTATCTTCATTTGAAAGTATTTATCTATTATTAAATTTAAAAGGGTAATGAATATGATGGAAACTGTGGTTATAATTGGTTGAGTTTATTTAATTGGTGTTTAATTTTGTAGTTAATAATTACTTAAAATTATTGTAATAATTAAATAATTTGGTATATCTTTAATAGTATATAAACCACATATGATATGACCATAAACAACTTTCTAATTTAATAATTTGATTTACTTCTCTCAAATTATCTCATTTCTATTATATCTCATATGATGCTATTAAAGGTTTTCTCTCTTGCCTGCTTATTGTACAAATTCTTTCCATCATTTTTTTCATCTTCGCTCATTTTATTTTTTTGGTAATAAATAATAATAATAGTAAAAAATTTCCGCGTATTTTTTTTGACTTTTCCTTCAGCCAACGCTTGGCCTAAAGCATTTTGTCCTCTTCTTATTCCACGTTTTTTTTTTCTTTTGCCTTTTTTCCTTTCCATCCTTCCTCGTGCTTTCAATTTCAAGACTTTTTTTTTTTTTAATCTAACCTCAAGACTTTTATTTAGAGGTGATGATCGGTTTGAACTTTGAATAAATCCGTAAACATCAAAACTTAACTGAATCGATATTTAAAAATGCTCAAATACTTTGATTAAATTAAATGGCATTAAATGAAATTTGATAATTATTTTTTTGTTTTTTTTATTTAAAGTTACGATGAATGTTGTATTTAAAAAATAAACATAAACATATAAACCTCCCAGGGTAGCTCAGTTCGCAACTGAGCTCCCAAGGATTTGCTTGAGTCAGTGGTTCTTCAAGCCCTGCCTCAAGCAAATTTTTGAAAAATCTTTGGGGGCCAGAGGACATGCCTCTCTCCTCGAATGAGGGATTAATCTCATCCTTTTTTTGGTAGCAAAGCTCAATGCATCCGTTGTTCTAATGAGGGGCTAGCCTTCAGGTCCTCGAACGGGGGACCAGTCTCGTCCTTCCTCCGATAGCGAAGCTCAATGCACCCGCTGTTCCAACGAGGGGCTAGCCTTCAGGGCCTTACCCTGAAGGCAAAGAAACCGGAGGAGGTTGAATGAGGATACCTCCAGGTTAATACTAAAAAAATAAAATAAATAAATAAATAAACAAATAACTTACCTAAAAAAGATAAACATATATATAATTCATTCACTTGATCAATTGATTTTTTGCTTTTTTTGAAAATATCACCCTCAGCGAACCTTGTTTAATTATTTTGACTTTAATTTTTTTATAACTGACTCTACCCAGGAATCAAACTGAAGATACAGCCTCCACTGTTCCCTTTCCAAAACAAAACAAAAAGCTAATATATATCAACCAAATCATACCTTAAGAAAAGTAAATAAATAGTAGTAGCATTTTATTTATCAACTGGATTATGGAAACTGAAGAAACCACAAAATCAAGAATACATGAATCCTTCAGATTTCTTCGAGTTGTTTCAGTCAAATGCATTACCCAAACTAATGTTGAGAGGTGCAGTTAGGCCAGTGCGCAGCTTTTGGTGATTTTGTTTTAAGGACCGGGTTACTCTCAAAGAAATTGGTCGGTCTCAGCTCAAATCCACCACTCAATGTTGGCATTACTGGAAAATCTTCCTGAGAAGGAACATGATGAACTCCCATGGTGTACCACAATACTATTACACCAATGGGACTGTTAATTTGTATGCGAGACCATTGGAGGGGATAGAAGCGGTCGTTGACCTTGACCAGATGAAGATTATTGATTACACAGATAGATTCATCCTTCCGTTGCCAAAAGCAGAGGGCACAGAGTACCGAGAGTCAAAGCTGAAGCCACCCTTCGGTCCTAACCTCAGGGGAATTGCTGTGATGCAACCGGGAGGACCTGCATTCAAAATCGATGGCCACACTGTAAGGTCAGCTTAATTTAATTTATTATTTCTTTATTTCTTTATTTTGATTTGTCATATTCTGATTTTCCTTTTAAGTTTATATATTACACCGGTGAAATTTCCATCTTTCGGGTTGAAATTTTAAGTATGTAATTTATTGAAAATTTGATTGAGAGATCTTCACCGTATTTATGATGATATTTGATTCAATTGAAGTAATTAAAGAATCGAGGAATTGCTGGGAAAAATAGCATACAGGTCATAAACTAACTGGTAGTAAATATATTATTGTGTGAATAAAGGAGTACTTGCATAATAGATCATATTTTAATAAATAAAATAAATTGAATCTTTTAGCAAGATAGTCACAGCGGAGACAACGACCAAATTGCCATTGTTGACCCCAAATTTTATCAGAATGTCATGTCTTCGAAATTTTTTGATC